ATATATATATATATATATATATATATATATATATATATATATATATATATATATATATATATATATATATATATATATATATATATATATTAATACTGCAATAATATCCTAAAATATATGATGTATAAGAATAGAAGTATGTTTATTTTGCAATAAATATCAAGAATATATGTTACCTCGAATACTGCAAAGTTTCATTGCATTAATTATTGTATTTTATAACCAGATAATAAATGTTTTGAAAGGAAGAGATGGTCCATCAGGTCCACCAGGTTTAAAGGTATGTTAATTGGCATGCAGTCATGAATATATTATATATGTGTTTTTAATGGCACATTATCACAAAATTACTGTAAGACAAGTTGTGTCTAAAAATTCCGAAAATCAAGCCAAGGAAATCAATAAAAATATCTGGAGGTGACCCATGAGACTCTCTTGCAATTTACCGCGTGGCTCCACTGAAAAAGTCTTAAATCTTTAAGTCTAAAAGAGGCCTTGCATTATGTAGTTGATTATTTACACGTCACCATGCAATTAATATAAGATGTATACAAAAAATATTAGTTTTCTGTTTATGTTTTTAAAATTATATGTTATAGCATATCTGAACACAGATCAACTTTAGTTTTTACTAGCCTAATACTATTATATAGTTTCATAATACCTGAACTAAAGATGCGGTACAGTCCGATCTGCGCATGTGCACAAAGGAGCCCTCTTTTTATTTACAAACAGTTTATTTAGGTTTTTATTTCATTTTATGTTCTTGCAAAGCTTGATGTTGTCTCTTGATAATTTATTATACTCTATAAAATCATGAAATTATAAATAGTTGTCGATTAAAATTCAATATTTTGGATACCGAAATGTAAACAAAGCCTTTGTTTACATACGGACTGTACCGCATCTTTAAGGAAACCATTGAGCTAACATAGCTGATTTTTATCTAATATAGTGAATAGACTTAGTTGTCAATACTGTATTAGTTCTGATTTGGCATGTTTGATACAGATTATATAACTAGTTAAATGCATGCAGTTCACCATTACAAATGCATGCAGTTCACCATTACAAATGCCCGGCAAATACAAAACAATTGCATATACTTAAACTAGATACACTTAAATAAAAGAGGAAAAATAGACTTTAACTAATATGTTCATGCATGTTATAATAGTTCAGTATGTATTTATAATAAGATCGAGAAAACATAATAAAATTCATTCTGACTCATACGTATTATTCAATATTTAGTTAATGTTATACCCTATACATTCCCTATACTTTAATTCTGTACTATTTTTCAGGGTAATCGCGGTGAGCAAGGAGACGAAAGACTATATGGTCTTCTAGTACGTATTCCAAATTAGGCGTTACAACATGTATAGCTATAATTTTATTGTTAAACTATGCAAGGTGTACTGATTTTGAAGGCATTTGAGAATTTTGTCATACGTGATCGTGAAAATGTTCTATATAATATCACCCTTTTGGCTTTTATTATATAAAATATAGTGCTTTATGTACTGTTTAAAGCACTGATAAAACTGATAATCTCACATGCATGTGAGATTATTTATGATAATTTCACATGTGAAAATTATCGCTTTTCAATTATCCCTTTTCTGTAAAAATTATCGCTTTTCCATGCAAGACTGTCCTTTATATATAATAAACAGAAATATACATGGATGCTTGGAAATACCAGATCTATTTCTCGTGTTGAACATGATATATATTTCACTTGTTTGCTGTGTTTATACTCTTCAACTCTTGAGATATCATGTTCAACACTCGAACTAATAAATCTGGTACATGTACTTCCGCGCATGCACCCATGTATTATTCTCTATCTATAATGATTATCATTTTTAAACTTCTAAAATGCCATTCCATATATATGATCACTTTTCAGGGTGATGAAGGTCTTCCCGGCGTACCTGGATTACCGGGACGTAAGGGCAGAAAGGTAAGGAACGCATAAGAAATTGCAGCCACAGTATAAGAAAAAATCTGATGAAAATTAGACAGCAAAGATCTTATTACGATACCAGCAGGCAAATCTCACTATTATATTTTTATATTAAATTATAAGCTTAACTAGACCACCTCGCACACAAACACGTATCATTGTTCAGTTTTTTAATTCGTCGTTTGACTAAACCAAGAATTCTAAGAATAAAATATTTGGCGCATCGTATATGGTGCTATCCGTATCCAAAATGGCATTTACGCTTTTACGAATAGTGTATTCCGATTCAATCAAAATTCAGACCATTTTATACACGTGTTTTATTAGTTTTAACTTATAAAAGTCGATAATGTCTAACTCGTTAATGATTAACTTCATTTTAGGGTATGCCTGGAAACATTGGTGAGCCAGTAAGTAATTATATTAATCTGATCTGTAGTTCGGGGATAGCTGCATGCACTGAGCGCATTCTGCTACATATATCCTGAGTATGCTCCTGTATTAAAGTTAACATTGGTTTATTTCCAGTAGCTGAAGCAGCAAGACATATGGAATGAGCAACTTTAATTTGTTCTTTCTAATCCTTTACACAATAATAATGTTATACATGCGATTTCTCTCAAATTTACAGGGACCGCTTGGTCTTGACGGTAATTATGGTCGCAAAGGCGCAAAGGTAAAGTTAGTTGACTCGTTGTAATCATGTACCAGGTGACGTTCACCTGTGCTATCCACGCGTACTATAAATGATAATTAATTCCGTAATATATTGCATTGTACTTGTTTTTTTTTTCATCCGATGATGCAATTCTATAGTCCAGTGACTTATTTAGATCATAAAATTGTCTGCATTATGACCATGTATGAAGCCAGATTAAGACACTTTTATTATTGACATGCGGCTAAATTCAAACTTGGTACGGTGCATGGCCGCCATATTGAATTTGAATGCGTTGGAGCCTGGGATCTACCTTTAATATACCGATTTGTCCTGCACTTTCATTCCCTTTAATTAACGAACTTTTCTCCTAAATTTTCAATAGTTTCAATTCTATACATCTTTTGCATCTCATAATAAAAAACAAATCAGAATAATTGATTTTTGACCGTATCGTTCAAAGCAAATCAAGATTTCCAGTCATATTTAATTTAATTATCACAGAGACACGGTATAACATTCTGTTAAATTTATACTGCCAAGAAAAACTGAACTGTAAAATTGAACTGTATTCAACCGTGAAATCATAATACTGGTACTTTTTCGCGTAGGTTGCGTAAGTTGGTGGCCGAAAGGTTACGTTTTCACGCGCCTAGTGGAAATTCGTTCCGCATTGGTCTTGATAGCGCGGTTTGCGTTCCTCTTTATTTTTAGTGTTCGGTTTAATTTTTTTCTTTTCAGAACGTGGCCGCCTAAAACCATCCATATATTTTCCCTTAGTATCTCAGTTGTGTGCGGGGAAATGAAATAAACTTTTTCTCACGTTTTTGTTCGAAACAGCTCGTAAAAAATCTTATGTCCAATCTCGTTCCAATGCTCAAGCGCACTTAAATTCTATATGGCGGCCAGGGTGCCAAGCACTGATACATCAATATATATCCTATACTGGGGGAGATATATCACTATATACAGTATACTCCTTTGTTTCACTTCTTATCATGTTTACCCATCATACCACTATAATATTATTCAGTGGTACGTTGTTTTATATACCCATCACTTATAGGGTCAACCTGGCAAATATGGAGAAGATGGATATTATGTAGGTAACTAGCATTGTTCGCAGGATTCTATAGTGGTAATGCAGTAATGCACTCATTTCACATGTAGCTATATGTATTAATTACATTCAACCAATATCCTTGCCATTAGTGTGTTGTCGAGTCAAATGTACATGTACACTGATGTAGTATATTTTAAGTTAATATTTCATTTGTTCGCGTATAGGGTTTGAACGGAAAATTTGGTCATGATGGGCAAAAGGTTATTATAATTCAATAAAATAGAATGTTAGAAGGTTATTGTATGTCAACGTAATAACCTTGACAAGAAGCTTTGATTCATTTGACACACACTCGTTCTAATATACGATTTTGCTTTTTTTTTAAACGCCCGCATGTTTTTTGGCTGGAACTAGCGTACAGTACAATTTCTTTATTTTTAAAACCACTGCTGTCCATAGTGCCAGTAGCCTACCATTATTTTTGTAATAATTCCCGAGCGATTTCGAGACCTGGATTTTATTTCTTGTATTCTAGAATCTAGACTTGAAAACCAATTCAATATCTTAGCTTCACTGTGTAATGTAACCATTTATATGCTTTTATATATATTTAGGGTGAGCCTGGATCACCGGGATTACTTGGCGCTAAGGTAAACTGACATTTTCCATAATAACGCATCTTAGGGCTCTCAGTTTTATAACGGTATCTTAAGTTCTGACTCATTCTATTTAAAAGTAATGCTTCAAAAATGCACTAATGATGCACTGATTTAGTGGACGCGCGGACATAAAACGCCAATTTGAAACTATTGGTATATAAATTATATCTGATTTAATAGATAAAAGATGACATCGTGATATCTTTACTAAACGATTATTATGTTGCGGAAAGTGGTTACTACAACAACCTCTACCACGTGAAATCACGTGATCTGACTGACGGTAGAACAGACACTGGTGGTTGGGGCAGTAAAACAGCAAAGATTGGAAACTACATCCAAGCAACTTTTGTTCGTCCTATCTACGTCACATCAATCACAGTGGCTGGAGGTTTTATACCATCTTGGGGTCATGACACAAAACAAGGATATGGTTTGATGGATTTAGAATACTCAGATGGAGAAACATGGCACAAGGTAAATTATATAAATATATAATATACTTCAACTTTGCATCGGTCAAATTGTCTTTATGGCTATAAGACTGCTATAAAAAGGATCAATTAAGCCCCATCCATGTAGCTCCATATCATTGTTGAAAGACGACGGGGACAATTTTAAATTTAATTTCGAAATTATAATCGTTGAATATTCTCTCCAATATTACCGCCGGAAAAAGCCCTTACAATTCAGTGTATTATACAAAACCGCGCCGGTGAATGTGCGAATTATGTAAAAATGAAGATATGTAAAAATTATATTGTAGTAAAATTATATATTGCTCCCACAAATGTTCAGACTTTTTCAGGTGGCCTAGACAAATATCAACATCTTGTTGGTATCTTTCTATCTGATAATAAAATATCAACATCTAGCTTGTTGGTGGCTTTCTATCTGATAAAAAAAATTATAAAATTATTTTGCCAATATACGTTGTGAGCTGTGGCGTGGTCACGGGATGAATGCATGGGTGTCAAGAACCCCTCCCTACTTCTCTTTGGACACATTTAGTTGTAATTATTTCAAAACTAAGGGCAAACTGGGAGAGAGAGGCCGATTTACGCTATACAACATTTGTCTGAAATTGTCGTATGCAACCTGCAGCTTATACAGTTTGAGTTGTACTGTGTAAATAACAAGTAAGTACCGGTAACTCGCCTACAACAAAATGTCGTTGTGCAGTGTAAATCGGCCTTAAAATATACCACATCTGTGTGGCGACTTTCACATTTTTATCAAACAATTATAAAATACATGAAATAGCGTTTCACAGAACTTAAAAATAGAAAAGTTTTCCAGCGGACCATACCCACGGCGGTCAGACGATTAGACCCCACGCCAATTCGTTTGGGGTTGGCCACGCCCCTGGTTGTGAGCTTAATATCGAATTGTTTGTTCCTTTAAAAAGCATTTCAAAATGCTTGTTTCTTAAAATGTATTATTAATTATTATGTTTCTTTCTAGATTTCTAACTTAGAAACTCCAGTGGGTGAGGAAATGGTCACTCGCAATCTTACGGTACCTGTTATTGCTCAGTATTGGCGCTTGATTTCGACAGAGAATAAGTGGATTGGAACAACTGAATTTGCTTTGAAACCGTTATTGGTGAAGTCTCCTGTTTTGGATACGGATGATGAATGATCATTCAGCTCCCAATGGATGTCGAAATGGTTGATGTGAGATTTTTTTATTAAACTTTCATAAGAGTCTGCTAATTAATTGAAGCATATGTAATCTAGATAAATATATGGTAAGATTTAATAAAGTTATGTGAATCGATCTAATTCGTCTATGATTCTCTTATATATATGTATACACTTATATATAAAGTTGTGTGATAATTATAATTAGTATAAATTTTGCATATCAAATGAGCTTTCGCGCGTTCTGATTGGCTAGTTGACTAGTAAATCTGAGGCATTATTTACCACCCAAGTAAATAATGCTTTTCAAAAAGAATGACTCGGTAAATTTGGTTTCAAAATCGATAAAATATTGAAAAAATCGTCCCCAGAAAACGAAAGAAGCACAAACTGTTGTATTTAACTTGAAAGGTAGGATTCCTTTATTATTTTACTGTGTCAAACATATTCACGGACAATTTAAAACTTATTTAAAACTTATCTAAAACTCCGAAACATTCACTTTAAACAAATAGCAAAACAAAACATCCCGATTGTTGGGAAAACCTTGCCGTGATATTCTTTAAAATCCATTTTATTTTGTATCCTATAGATTTCCCAATTTGTACGACACTATTTCTTTTGATATGTCATGTTTTTATTGTGCTGTATGGTGTTCTGTCTTCTGAGCGCTGTATTGTGTTTTCGAAACTTGTAAAAAGTATTATTAAAACTTTTATATTTCGAACAATATAGTTTTACATTTCATTTTACCAAATTTCTCAGCCACTTCCTGAAAAAATTAATACTAAACAGAAAATATTTTTAATTCTAAGTCTGGTGAAAGTGTCATTCCGTTATTTTGTTTATATTGTTAGGAATATATGATTTTTATTCCGTTTTTCTACGCGAGGTATAGGGAATCGTTACAGTGTTTCTAATTATTGTTACTAATGTTAATATTGGAATAGTTCTGCTTCATGGTTCTCTTCTTCCTTAAACCTTTCTTCGTTGTTTTTAGTTCGTTTTTCTCTGTCGTTTTGTCTTGTTTCGTTTTGAGCTTTCTACAACTTTTCATGCATACTGATTTTTACTTTGTTGAGTCCACTGACGAGTTTGGATTGTGCACGGCCTTTTATACTAACGGTAGAGGGACCTTTGTACACGTGATCTAGCAAGTGGTGTGATTTGTATCCAGCCAATCAACGTTGAGTTTTAAAAGTGTGGGTTGGCGTTGTTAGCTCGTTCCATCTCTCACATTCTGTTTATTTAAGGCGTTGTCGCACTGGTCGAGTCGGTTCGCTGCTCAATCGATCAATATTAAAATATGTTCACAACTTAAAATACTTAAAATCAAAATATCATAGTAAAAACTTCAACCTATACCTATGTGAACCTTACTTTACCTACTAAACCAAGATTTTGATGACGTAATGTTATCATTACTCAACCGCGCGAAATATACCGAAGAATGATTGATAGAAATGACCTAAGCATGCACATTCTCCATGTCAGAGAAGAACCAGCCTTGGACTTTGAATTATGTAAACACAACAGGTCACCATGCAAGGCGGCATATTGTAAACACTGGACTGGACTTTGGACTGGACTTTGGACTATGGACTTTGGACTTTCGATTTTGAATTTTTTTTTTTAGATTTTCGTATAATTATATTAAAATCTAAACAGAGAACGAAAATTTGCTGCTGCAAAGCGTGCTACACTGTATGCACATGCATGATATAATATACAAGGTAAAAAATACTCAGTATCAGTTATATAGGTATACCAGCAGTGCAATTTCATACTAGCAGGATTATCCAATATTTTGGGATTTAATATTTAAATTTTATATAATATTTGTATTTATAGTATGCATAGTACAGTTTATACTGCAGAACTTCTTCTTTGTCATATGGATAATAGATTAATTGTCAGAAACAATTGTGACAAAAGTGTCTCGGCAAATACAAAATATTAACTATACAAGCGATTATTATCGCGCGTATTGAGTATTGTGACTGTTCATCTTTGCATAATAGTTTATAGTCTTTATACTAGTACTGTATTGTGTAATTGTTTACTCCGTTACACAGTAACGTTTTGTTAATGTTACTTATTTTTGAAAGACATTCTAGTTAGCTATCCTTATCACTATAAGACTAAGTGCTTCAGTTATTATTAATAAGTGTTAGTAGATGGACAGGAATATTCGAACGGAAATTTACACACTTTTAAGACCTACTCAGTTGTGTGTGAGAAGGCAAAAATCTATGTCTATGTGCTTCAGGTAGTCTATAGCAACTATTTGCGACGTCTACTGTAATACTACCACTTGCAAGTGATGAACCAGGCGGGAATCGTAATCGTAGTATAAAGATTAATGCTCAGCCGCATAACGTACGCAAAAGAGCCATATTTGGACAATAATATAGACATAAATATATACATACTGCGGAATCAGGTAGACCGTGAAATGCGAATAGTTGTCGCGTTAGTTTTACTGTAACAGTTGTACGATGACGTTTCTAGGCAGATTTTCGACGTTTCTAAGGCGTGGCTTCAACGTTTATTTTTAAAATTTGAACGTTGTCATTACAAGGTAATTGCTAAATAATATACTTCAAAATAAGGTTTCCGTTTTTATATCAATTTTTTAAATAAGTTAGGGTTAGGTAAGGGTTTAGTTTTGCGTTAGGATGATTTTTTCTACGTTATAAAAACGGAAACCTTATTTTGAAGTATATTATTTAGCAATTACCTTGTAATTACAACGTTCAAATTTTAAAAATAAACGTTGAAGCCACGCCTTAGAAACGTCGAAAATCTGCCTAGAAACGTCATCACAACTGTTAAAACTAACGCGACAACTATTCGCATTTCACGGTCTACCTGAACCGCAGTAAAGTAATACTAATTAGCCTACTATAGATTATCATAAAGTAATCAGTACTACCAATTAATAATGTATCATACATTCGTATTTTATGAAGTATGACGACTATGAGAGTTTCCGTGTTCACTATGGCTGAATACATTTATGAAAAGCTAAAACTGACACAGACAAAATACATTGTAAACACAGCCTATTTAGGCAGGCGCTAAACTGGTGTAAACTATTATGCAAAGATGAACAATACCGTCATTAGTATTTTTGCGCAAGTGAATAAATATATAACAAATCCAGAAATCCTACAAGTTGTCAAGTTGATTGGTCAAATTTGAGAAATTCCCTAGCCTCCTGCGCAGACATCAGAGAGAACGTACACAACTGGCTGCGAGGGAGACTACAAATTTCCCGATAATCACGGCCTCGCCTTCGGCGAATAATTGTTCAAAGCCAAAGGCGCAATAATAATCGCCTGTAGTTTATACTTATACGTGATAGTTTCTCAATATTTTGTATTTGCCAAGCTACTTTTGACACTGTTTCTATAAATCTATTATCTATACGATAAAGAAGAAGTTCTGCAGTATAAACTGTACTATACATACTATAAATACAAATATTATAATAAAATTTAAATATTAAATAAAAGATGATCCTGTTATCCCACAGGCTATATCTATGAAATTGCACTGGTATACCTATATAACTGATAGTATTTTTTACCTTGAATATTATATCATGCACAAATTTTCGTTCTCTGTTTAGATTTTAATTAATATAATTATACGAAAATTTTAAAAATATAATTTCAAAATCAAAAGTCCAAAGTCCAAAGTCCAAAGTCCAAAGTCCATAGTCCAAAGTCCAAAGTCCAGTCCAGTGTTTACAATATGCCCATGCAAGGCTATCTATCGTCCAACTTTGACAGTTTGACAAATCATTTATCTTGCCTAATACCGTAATGGGCAGATAATTGACACTTTTACACAAGTCCGAAATGATATATACTTTATCTGCGTTTTACGGCAAACATGCTCATTATCTCTCTAGTGACGTAACTAGTATCTATAATTACCTGGGGTGCAAACTGAACTATTTTTATATATTATTTAGATATACTTTCGTAACAATATTCCAAGCAGAAATCGAGAAAAACAACTTAGTTTGTAATAGTTTTGTTTGTGGAAACACCACGTAAATTTATTACTGCAATAATAAATTTACGTTCAATGTGTTTCCACAAACAAAACTATTACATGTTTTATCGCCATGCAAACATAAAAGAACTTAACTTAGTTTGTAATAAAGCAATAAAGTCACACAAGAAGCCATGTTGAAAGCGTGCATGTGCATGCGTACAAGCAACACTGCAACACTATTAGTGACAGTACGTATACCGCGTGAACAGGCCGAAAACAGTTTTATTTCTGAAATTTAATTGAACTGATATTCGGATATTTTGTTTCATTCATTAAAAATTTATACTAAACTCGACTTCGTCTCGGTGAATATTCACCGGTAATCGCATGCACTTCGCCTTCGGCGAATAATTGTTAAATAACATCTAATGTCAGGATATTTTCTGGTTAAAGAATATTTAGGTTCTGCAAGAAAAAATATTTGTCTGCAGGAAATCAAATTTAAAACCGGAATTGGTAGGGAAATGTGAGGAAATGTTTAATAATCCAACTTTCAATTAAAGCTTTTTAGGGACGGACCATTAGATATTTGAGGGGGTGGTTGCAGCTTTTTTCCTTGCAGGATTTCCCAGACATTTCTACTCGGAATTAAATAAATTGGAAAGTCACCTTGAAAAGAGGAGGAGGGGTCAGTGCCACCTAATTTCCCCCTCTGTGATGCTGGGGGGAGCCATGTGATTTTGATCAAAAATGCATTTAAATCATTCTAGGTTTATGAGACACCATTACCGCATTCTCAGAATTGCGTTGCTTTTTACACAATACAGAGTAAGTCTGAGAGGAAATATTCATGCTATGATAATGCATACATGTATTTAACAGTTAAAAATCTAAACTAAATCTATTTTTCTTGGAACCATATCTACAAGACTACAAATGCTTTAACGAGATTTTACAAATCAAGTTCCTCCAGTATATCGTCTTTTTCCTCACTCGAGACGTACTTAATCAGTTTCTGCTTTGAGGCATGCAACCTGTACCCCTCCCCCAAAATTTATCTGCGGATTTAGCCTTTTTGAGAAAATGTTTTTTGTGGCGATTGGGGGGGGGGGCGGTCGCTCCCCCCTTGGCTA